TCACATATTCAGGTGCTGTTGACCAGCACTCTCACTGGAGTTTATCTCAGATGTCCCTATTGCACTCTTGGAGTGATGCTGCAGCTACCTTAATGACATGATGAATGTGGCTAAATTCATAGAATCCCAGAATGGTTTGGGTTGGAAAGGATCTTAAGGATCATCTAGTTCCAACCCCTGCCTTGGGCAGGGATACATTCCACCAGACCAGGTTGCTCCAAGCTCCATCACATCTGGCCTGGAACACTTTCAGGGATGGGGCATCCACAGCTTCTATGGGCAATCTGTGCCAGTGCCTCATCACCCTCACAGTAAATCCTGTCTAAATCAACCCAATTTCAGCTTAAAACTATTCCCCCTGGCATGTCACTCCAGGCCCTTGTCCAGCGTCCCTCACCAGCTCTCTTGGAGCCCCTTTTGGTGCTGGAAGGGGCTCTAAGGTCTCCTTGGAGCCTTCTCTTCTCCAGGCTGAACACACCCAGCTCTCCCAGTCTGTCTCCATAGCAGAGGTGCTCCAGTCCTTGGAGCATCTCCTACACAGTTCCCCAGGCTCCTGCTGTATCCCTGTTTATACCAACTCCCAACATTTCAATTTCATCCTCTTCTAACCCCTTTCTAATCCTCTCCTTTATATTTCACTGCTCCTTTCATCCCTTTCTCCTGGTTCTTATTTCCACCCGCCATGAATGGCTACCTGGCCCCTCAGTGCCCTGGTCACGCACTTTCTATGGCAATAACTCGTTCTGCTTTGTTCAGGCTTTGCCTGAGGCACGTTCAGCCTCTCAGGGCCACCAGCAAGAGGCCTTTGGTGCGTTGTGGGGGTTCCCATTTAGCCTGTACAACCATGCAACTTCTCCCAGCAGCCGACAAACCCCGATGGAAGTGTTTTGGCCCTGCTGCTCCGCCTGAAAAGAGCCTGTGAAATCATATTTAAGGTTGTCTCTTGAAGGTGCCCATTGGAAAAAAACCCTCCTGCCAATGACGTTCAGCTCGGGTTTGTAGTTAACACAATGGACCCTCCGTACAAAGCCGCTCGGGACCGCGGGCTGGAAAAGCCCTCCTAGGTCCCGGCTAATCCGTCCCCCCCGCCAGCCCGGGGGATTGTTCCCGACAGCTTGTTTTCCTTGCCCTGACCTACATAGTCAAAGAGAATCTTGTTGCACATTTTTGTTTTGTATCTTGAGGTCTCAGAGGAGCTAAATCCCCTTCTTGGCGGGGCAGGATGTGTTGTTAAACAGAGCTGGAGCCTCCAGGAAAACCATGGAGACGCAAGGACAATGAGGCCTCTATGGTCCTGGCTTGGCCGCAGGATGGTCCTGCTTCTCCCAGTCTCAGTGGCGGGGCCGCGGCGCGATGCCGCGCTTGGCAGCCTCTCCGGCAATAGAGTGGTCACAGCAGCTCTCCAAGGCAGAATGTTTGGAGGGGGGGAGGAATGCAGAAGCTCTTAATTAACCTGTTGGAGATTATGAAGGTGAAGGCTGCGTCCAGTTCATCCTTGGCTGTGCTCTCGTGGGTGGGTGGAGAGGTCAGTCCTCTCCAAGACCTCATATGGGAAAGGTGTGGGAGCTCCTGTAGGGGTTTTAAGGACAATAAGGGTGGGAGTATTATGGGAATAAGGTGTTTAGGAAACCTGGGCTGTAGTTTGCTCATCCCTCACCTAACTCATCTGGGATCAGTGAGGCACTGGCAGGATCATTTGTGGAGATGTAGGGCTTCAAGTGGGAATTTTGAGGCTGCGGAGTAGGGACTGTTGTGGACAGCTGAATTAACCCAATTTTGCTTCCCCTGCTGCTGTGGGCTGGTGGTTTCTGTTACAAGTGCCTGGAAAGCACCTGGGACTCCCAGTCTTTAGTAGTTGAGTTCACCCAGAATAAACCCCTGGAGCTTCTGAACAGGTCCCACACCTCCCCGGGGAGCTCTTGGCATTAGAGACACATACAAAGCACTTGGAAGGTGCTGAGGTGGAGCAAAAGTGATGAGAAATCCTTGGGGAATGGTGCAAATGATAGTAGAGAACAGAAGACCTCTGTGGTGACGTAGAGCCCCCAAAAGTGTCCTCTTGGCAGAGCTGAGAGCATCAGAGCACTGACGTTCTCCTCCACCCACCTCCTCAGGGTGTCCCAGACCTCATATCTTCTGTACCACTAGCTCACCCCAAAAATAGAGGTAACAGAGCAGGAGTTATGATAACAGCGTGTATTTATAGCTAAATGAATACAGCCATGCACAAATTGGTGTTAAATATCAATAATCTGTTAAATATTCATAATTCACTAACGAAATATGAACAAGTCATTGATTAAATGTTAGCAGAATTATATTAAACAAACTAATAAAGACTTCAAACTGGTTTTGGTGGTTAACTCCACCTGCCCAGGACCTTTGCCAGCTCAAGATAAACCACCTGCTCCCTTTTCCAGCTTGTTTTAATCCTTCTGTTTGGTTTTTCTTTCCAGCTCTTGGATCTGTTCATCCAGTGGGATTGGTCAACGTATTTGGCTGACTATGGGCAACCCACATGCAAGTATCTTCGTGTGAACCCCACAACAGCCCTCGTCCTGCTGGAAAAGTGAGTGTGGCTCTGGGATCCTGGGATAGTTTTCACCCCCAACTTGCTTTAGCAGCTCATTCCATCCTGTGTGGTGCTGGGACAGAGCAGCCTGGGGAAAAGGAGGCTCCTTGTGATCCAAGGAGCAAAGATTTCATCCCTGTGTGGACAGTGGGAGCTCAAGTGGGAAATCCTGTTTTATCCCACTGAGCTGAATCCCAGATAATCACAATTCAACAACTTGGCTGAGAGTCTGTCTTTGCTTTCCTCTTATGCAAAGTTTTCCTTGTCCTACAACAAAATTCCACTGTTAAGTTGCATCTCAAGCCCCAAAAATCACTTAAAACTTGCTGGTCTGCAGGCACAAGCAGCTACTCCAAGTTTTCTGGTGTTTAAGAGGCATTTGGATAATGCCTTGAACAACATGCTTCAGCTTTTGGTCAGCCCTGAAGTGGCTGGGCAGTTGGACCAGATGATCCTTGTAGGTTCCTTCCAGCTGAAAATATGCTATTCTAGTCCATTCTATTTCTTTCTATTTCCTTATTTCCATGTCTATTCCTGTATTTCTCTTTCTATCTCTGTTTCTGTCTCTATCTCTATCTCTGTCTCTATCCTATCTCACTTCTGTTGGATCCACGGGGAGGATCAAGTGCCACAATCCCAGCTGTGGGAGAGGGACGGTGTCTGTAGGTGACTGAGCTCCAGTGCTTGCCCTTAGCAAGGACATGCTCTTTGCTGAGGCTGAATCTGAGGCTCTTTGAAGCCTGTAGTTCATATGCTTTGCACAGCTTCAGCCCAAAGCCTGGAGCAGTGCCGAGGAGCAGCGCCCGGATGCGCTGGACGAGCGCCGCGTGGCCTCTGTGGAGCTCTGGGATCCCTCCTGGAGCACAGTGAGGAGGTTGTGGCAGTCTGACAAGCCAGCAGCAAGGAGGCAAAGCCCATGAGTTTACTGCAGACCCAAAAAAAATGGGATTTGCTTTGCTTGTAACCCCTCTGGCACATGGGAGGGAAGTGCCACCACTCACCCATCCTGCCTGCGGTAGGTCTCCCAGATGATCCTTTCCCTGGTAGACTTCCAAGCTGTCTTTGGATCAGCCCTACTCCTGCCCCTTTGCTACCGTCAGACCTCCCAGCTGGTCTTCCAGCTGATGGGGGAGAGAAGTAACCTGCCAAAAATGGTAATTAATAATTATTCAAGCAGCTCATGCCATGGGCATTCTGCTGGTAGGTCTTGCTTGGAGAAGTGGGCAGGATAGGGTCATCAGAGAGTTCTAGAATGTTTGGGTTGGACAGGATCTTAAAAACCATCTAGTCTCAACCTCCTGCCTTCTGCTTCCACCTTCCACTAGCCCAGGTTGCTCCAAGCCCCATCCAACTTGGCCTGGAACAATTCCAGGGATGCAGTTAGGTTTGGTTAGGTTTAGCCTGAAATCAGACCATGAGGAGGAGTTCAAGTTAGTTTTGGAGTACCTCTTCTTCTCCATTACTTGCAGAGGAGATGACTAGTTTAGAGTTGGGGCCACACTTCATAAGAACATTCAAGGTCAGGTTGGATGGGGCTTGGAGCAACCTGATCTAGTTGAAGATGTGCCTACCCAAAGCAGGAGGTTGGACTAGATGACCTTTAACGGTCCCTTCCAACCTGAATTATTCTATGAATCCATGATTCTAAGTGACTTTGGTGTGTTTCTGAGCTTTGGAGTTGCATTTGTATTATTGTGGTACATGTAACCTCACCACCTCCTCTCCTGCAGAGGAGAAGAGCTAATTTCACAGCATACTTGACATCCAGATGTTACCAGTATGGTACACAAGGACTAAACTCAGGTGGTTGCTACATGTAAAGCACTTTTGGACCTTAGGGATTGTTTTTCTATAGGCATTTTATGTGTTGTGTAATACACTGTGTTATTTAGGGACATGGTTTAGTGGTGGCCTTGGCAGTGCTGGGTTGGATGGTTGGACTCAATGGTCTTGGGAGTCTTTTCCAACCTTAATGATTCCATAATTCTATGATACTGTGATTCACAATGTATTCGCAACCCAAGATCCACCGTGTAAAAGTGTGAGGTGTGTTCAGAGCTACCAGTAAAGTGGTAAAACGAAGAGCCATCAGAAACCTGAGTGCTTGGACATGAGGCAGCTGGAAGAGCCAGGGAGCTGGGAAGGCAGTGGGAGCAAGCAGCATCCCTGCTTGGTGGTGATACTAAAACGCCACCAAACCCCAGCTTGGCTTGCCAGCCTTCTCCTCCAAAAGGATCTCATTTCATAGCATCATGGAATGGTTTGGGTTGGAAGGGACCTTAAAGACAATCTAGTTCCAACCCCCTGCCATGGGCAGGGACACCCTCCACTAGACCAGGCTGCTGAAAGCCCTAGCCAACCTGGAACACTTCCAGGGATGGAGCAGCCACAGCTCCTCTAGGCAACCTGTGCCAGTGCCTCACCACCCTCAGAGCCAAGAATTTCTTCCTAATATCCAAACCCATCAGTTTAAGGCCATTCCCCATTGTCCTATCACTCCATGCCCTCATGAAAAGGAATTTGAAGGACACTTCGCTTAACCAGTTTGCTTTTTGGAGGAACTCCTGATGGAGTCACCAGGTTAGCACTTGCATGTCCTGCATCCTTCTGACATGGCATCATCTGCACACGGTGGGCTCTGCCCTCTCCCCACTTTAGACCTTTTGGGGGGGTCTGTGTGCCTCATCCACCAACTCCAGCTGCCCTGAGGCTCCTCACTGATGTTGGCCATAGCTCCAGGCATGTCCTCTCCCTTTGGTGTTCCCAGCCCACCGCCCCAGTGACGTGAAATTCCAATCTCCGAGTTCCTTTTGTAACCTGTTTTCATCATTATCTCTTTTCCTAATCACACCTCTCTCCTAGGATATCCCGAGTGTAAGTATGCTGCTTACTTGGGCTTTTACCCTCACCTTGCTATGACTTGATTGTCTGATTTAAATGGAGCACTAAATGGTCTAAATGCCTTTGAAACGAGGCCCTGCAGGAACTTTATCCTCTCAAGTGCACTAATTAGAGCTAAAAGAGGAGCTTTTACTCCCTTGCTTTTTTCCCCTTATAGATTAATTTAAACAAAGCTTGGCTCTACTCAAGGTGGTGTTTGTTGACAGGGGTGGGGACAGCGCTGAGCTCTCACTTTCCCTTCCTTTTACTCCTAATCCTTATGCTGACGCACAGGGACCACATTGCAAACTCAGTCTCGGTTGTCACAAGGCTCTGCTCAGAGAATCTGCCTAGTCCCTGGCACAGCACAACCCACATTCTGCAGGATTTGGGGTCCTGTTGGCCGCTTAATTCATTAATAATACTTAATAGCTTAGTGCATCCACCATGATGTCTGGAGATACCATGAGCTCTCAGGCCTCCCAGACTTTAACAGATCCATCTATATGGGTTTGTTATGGGATCAGTGCTTCAGTTGCAATTCCTTTTCATGCTGATCCAGTAGTTTTATCCATTCAGCCCCTTTCTAAGCATTCAAACACACACAAAGCTTTCCTTGCATACAACATGTGTTGCTTCGAAAGCATTTCTTGGACCTGAACAGGTCCCACAGGATCAGAGATGACTCCAAAGATGCTCAGGATGGGAGAGCTCTTAGGGCAGAGAATGTGCTACTCTAAATTACCTGTGTGTCACCTGGAGATACTGCTTTAAATTCTCTGTGTATCACCTGGGGACACCTGGGTGCTCTGCTCTAAATTCCCTGTGTGTCACCTGGAGATACTGCTCTAAATTCCCTGTGTGTCACCTGGGGATACCTGGATGCTCTGCTCTAAATTCCTGCGGGGACACCTGCAGCCGACAGGGAGAGTGATGGCCACAGCATTGGGAGGAGGTTTCTGAAGGAACAAGATGATGTTCAGTGCCTCTGATGTCCCCGTGGAGCCTGGGAGAGCTCTCAGCCCTCTTGGTGAAGTGCTGTGAGACCCTCTGGAGCCTTACAGCACTGCCGGAGGTCTCCCGTGGGAGGGTGATTGTCTCCAAAATTCATGCTACTAGGACACATCTAACCTGGGTGATTCCCATCAGTGTGATCCCTCCCTGGTTCCTGCAGCACAGCAGCTGGAAACCTGCTCTGGCAAAAAAATATGGAAAGCAAAAAGTAATCCTTATTTTGCTGAATTAACATGCTCCAAGCTATCCTGTTACTGTTGGGATGTAATCCCATGTCTTTGGGCACTTAGAACTTCAGCAAATTAGCCTTTGGGATAAAGTTGTTATCCATATTTTCAGTTCCAAGCTGGATGTTTTTGGGAACATTTCAGATTCCCTTTGGCTCTTTTGAGGAAGATTTGAAGCATGAAAAACCTTAGCTGTTTCTTGTGCAATCAGTTAAATCAGTTATGAGTGGTTTGATTTGTGCTCAGTTAACTCAAACCCCTCAGGGTTGATCAACTTCCAGCTTCCCAGGGACTATCAGTGCTGTGTCTCTGTCACTCCAATGCTTCATTTAGGTCCTCAAAGCAACGATCACAATATTGTGTGATGCATCCAAGTCCCTCAGCCTCTGCCAGAGCTGATTTACCCACAAAATCATGTACAAACTGTGCTATTGAAGAAAAGCTGAGACCCAGCAGGTTGGTGGTGGGAGGCTGGTACCTTCAGGAGCTGCTGAAGGGTGGTCCTGGTGGGATGGTTTCCCTTCCCAGCACTCTTGGAGTGTGCACCAAGACCTGCCCCCTCCAAAATATGCCTCTGTGAATGCAAGTGTGCATGAACCCTCAGCTCTGTGTGGTGGAGAGAGATGGAGCTACACTGGCTTGGCCTTCAGGTCCCATCCCGCCACCTGCTCTGCTTGGCTCTGGATTTTTGGAGACCTCATGGAGACCAGTGTGCTGCTCTCAAAAAGCTGAATTCCTTCCTCTAATATAAATTAGATCATATTATAATTAATATGAATGATATATATTTGTATAATATATATTATATACATTGGGCAACCTGATCTGGAGGCAGGGAATGAGATGGACTTTAAGGTCTCTTCCAACTCATACCATTCCAGGATTCCATATAATATCTGAAGGCCACAACTCCAGATGTTTCCAGCTGCCACAAGAGCTGCATCTCCTGGCTGCATGCAATGCATCCTTTCAAATAATTAGCCTTAATGCTGTGAAATTATTGCTGATTTCTGAATTTCCTCCTGTATTTCATCACTGTCATCCACACTTCAGGGAGTGACATGGGGATGTGGAAACATCTGTTTGGAAGGAGAAGCTTTAGGGTTTTGTGCATTTTGGTGTTAGACATAGATCCAGTGGTGACATTGATTGGGATTTGTGGGGTTTAGAGCAAAAAATACCAACTGTAAAGCCTGAAGAATGCCTCAAAATGTGATGAAAATTAGTCTAGAGCTTTTAGATTCAGTCACCTCCTCTCTGAACACTTGAACTTCACATGTGACTCCTTCATGGGGTTGGGTGTGATGTTAGGCCATGATTGTGAGGCCTCAACTGGAGTATTGTGTCCAGGTCTGGGCTCCTCAGGGCACGAGGGACATGGAGCTCCTTGAGCAAGTCCAGAGTGCTGTGTCCAGTTCTGGGCTCCTCAGAACAAGAGGGACATGGAGCTACTTGAGCAGGTCCAGTGGAGGGCAATAGAGATAATGAAGGGTCTGGAGCATCTCTCTCATGAAGAAAGGCTGAGGGAGTTGGGCCTCAGTTCAGTCTTGAGAAGAGATGACTGAGAGGGACCTCATGAATGTATGCAAGTATCTAAAGGGGGTGCCAAGAGGATGGATCAGGCTCTGCTCAGTGGTGCAAACCAATGAAACAAGAGGTAATGAGCAGAAACTGATGCACAGGAAGTTCCACCTGGACATGAGGATGAACTTCACTGTGCAGGTGACCAAGCACTGGAGCAGATGGCCCAGAGAGGTTGTGGATTCTCCCTCACCGGAGAAACTCCATAACCATCTGGATGCAATCCTGTGCCATGTGCTCTAGGATGACTCTGCTTGAGCAGGGAGGTGGGACCAGATGACCCACTGTGGTCCCTTCCAACCTGACCCATTCTGTGACTTTCTGATCCCTGAGCCATAACCTGTTTTTGCTCTGCACAGGATGAGAGACACGAGCCGAAAGAACAATGTGTTTGCCCAATTCCGGAAGAACGAGCGGGACAAGCAGAAGCTGATTGACACCGTGGCCAAGCAGCTCCGCAGCCTCATCAACAGCCACCACTCATGAGGAACCTGGGGACCTCCCGTCCCTGCGCCACAGCCTCCCCACGCGCCTGGACTTGGGATTCTTCTTCAGAGAGAATATATGTATTTTTTTATTCACCTGTATAGTATTGATGAAGCCTCCCCTGATGCCAAAATGTTCCTTGTTCAGCGATCCCAGGGAAGAGAGGCGACACTGGAGGTGGTGGCAGGAGGCTCCTGGTGTAAACTCCTATTTTCAGGGGTTTGGAAAGCCACAGGGAATCCTAAAAAGCCTGAGAGAAGTTCACAGCCAGACTTGGGGGTTTTTTTTTGTTGTATAAGCCAAATTGAAAGAATCTTTCTGCCTTCCTTTTGTTAACTTATTCGCTTGCAGAACAAATGGGAACAAAACATAGAGGGAGGAGCTGTGGTTTCAGGTTCTTCTTGTGGGCTCTGGTCAAAGGAAAGAGAGTCACCCATTAGTGTCTTGCCAGCTTATGTTTTGAGTTTAGGTAGGGCAAGAGGCAAAGTGATTTCCCAGTTTTTTATCCTCTTTTTCCCCCTCTGAGGGCTGAGTTCCACCTTAGGCTGCAGATCCCTGAAGCTGTGACCTTTTCCCATGTGTCTGTAACCCATGTGGTTACCCCCTGAACTCCACCTGTGGGACCTGCTGGGGTCTGTTGGGCTACCACTGAGTGGAGAAGGGCTTCATTGCCTCAGTAATTAGATTTGGAAAGAGAGGGAGAAGAGCTTCATTGCCTCAGTAATTAGATTTGGAAAGAGAGAGCCAGAGGATCATCTGACAGGGTGTCCTGTAGAGCTGGACCAGGGATGCTGCTGATTGTATCCATTGTTGGGTAGCTGGAGAGGAGGGATGCCCGGCAGAGATGGTGGGAAAGTGGATTGGGTGCCCAGAGCACTCCATGCAGTGTATTTCCCTCTCTTTTCCGTGCTGGTGTCCCATCTTCTCTCTCCTCCTGTCATGTTCCGTGGGGTAAAGTCCCTCTGCTTCCCTTGGCCACCATGGCTTGCACCATGCCAGGAACAGCCCTGAACACTGGGAAGCTTCTAGAGCTCTGTGACATGAAGTCAATGAGAGATTCCCCATGGAGCAGCATTGTTTTGCTCCCCTCCAGCTCCAAAGTGCCTATGGACAAAATTCCCCCCAGCTTTGAGGGTGCCCAAACACCCTCTGCTCAAATCAAACAGCTTTGGAGGAGGAGGGAAATGCTACTGACAGGATTTTGAGCCCAGGGTTCAGGTTACAGAGGGGATTTTCACCCTTATCATCTCATTACCCTTTTGACTCTAATTACTGCAGGTGAAAGCTTATCCAGCTACTTCTCCCAAACCCTCATGGTAAAGGGAATAAAATCTTCCTGGTGGATGTTACAGACCTGGTAGTGCTGCTCCAGCACAGCCACAGGATGTGCCATTTCCTACCTTCTGGATACACAAAGGGGATGAGGCTTTATCATCCCTCCTTGTTCCTCAGCAATACTTCTTGGCTGTTTTCTTTTGGAGGAGGTTCATGTTGCTTAATCCTGAAGGTGAACATGGTCAGGAATGACCTCCTGGGGCTGTTGTCTTGTCCTGGCCATCTCCAGCCACAAGGACCAAGGGATTATTGTCATTAATAAGAGGGAAAACCTATCCTGGCCTTATGGTTCCTTGGTTTTGGGGAGTTGATCAGAGGTTACTTCTCAACACCTCTTTGAAGTACATGCAAGAAGGATGGAGGAAAAAGAAGCAGGTGAAGGAAAGTTGGTGTCACGTGGCCAGAAATGGATCATCTTCATAGTTACACCTACAAAGGCCTCCAGAAGGACAAGTGACATGAGCTCGGTCAGGGATGAAGGGGGAAGGAACTGGCACCCCAAGACATAGGAAAGGGACTTTGCACTGCCAGTGGTGCAAGTGGAAAAAGCATCCAGCTCCTGCTGTCACCTTGCAGTTCCATTTTTCCCTCCTGTATTTCATTGCACAATGTATTCCCACATAAAAACAAGGTCTTGAGGCAAGACCTTATTTCAGATGCTCCAGCAGCATCCAGCTTTGCCCATCCCACAGCTGGGCTCTCCTTCCCATCTCCACTGAGCTTTACTTCCACGAGGAGCAACACAGCATTGCCTGGGATGGGTTTCATCGCTCCTTCAAGCTCTTAAAAGGAGATACTGGGATTGGGATCCTTCAGACTGTCTTCTGGCACTCTGGACCTGCTGCTGGGAAAGGCAGATTTGGCCAAGAGAGAAATTGAGGGAGTTTCTGATTTCGTGAGGTCAAGAGCCTAACCGCAAGTCACAGCCTGGGGATGAAAAATGGCCTTTTGGTGCTCTGGTCCTAATTAACTTTTTGTTCTGAGAGATGCAGTTCCATCCCTTCAAAATAAAATTAATCTTCTGAACAGATTGCCTGAAAAGCCCTGGAAGACATTTAAAATCCCTTCTAAGGCTTTTACTAATGATGAGTATCCTCTGACACGGATGGAATTGCTTAGGAGGGAAAGGTTGTTGCTAGGACTCAATGAGGGGGTGGGAAATGGGGGCAGAACCCAAATAGAAGATTTGCATCCCCTCAAATAAATAATGCTGCTACAACTCCTCCCTATATATGTGTGCTGTAACACACATTGAACCTTCCTTAGTAGTTTTTATTTTAAGCAGTGGATGTAGGAAAATATTGGATAATTCCCCTATTTTTCCTTGACTCAGCAAATATATTTCAGCCGCAATAGGGAAAAGAATATTATATATATTAACAAATAAACCCACCAAGTTTGGCTTCCTGAGAAGCATCTGCACTTCTTATCTCCTTCAAAATCTCCAGGAGTTGTCAGGCAGCACAGGGGTAGGGAATAATCTGATGTAAGGTCTCAAAAATGGGAATTTGCAGCCCAAGCCATGTCCATAGGTGATGGGAGTGGTCTCCATAAGTCACCAGCTCATGTGTGAGAGAGAGGAGGAGGAATTTTCTGGGATTTTTTGGTTTATTCCTGGGGCTGGAGTTCAAATCAGATGCTCTCAGCAGTTTTTGCACTTTGTTCCATATCCAACCACAGCTCCCGGCTCAGATGGGGACGGGAGAAACTTGGCTGAGGCTTTGTTTCAGGGCCTGTTTTGGGTTTGTTTTCTTCCAAACTGGCTTCTTTTGTGCTGCTGAGAAGATGATGTTTGGGCAGGAGATGTAGGTGTGCTGGCCCCAAACTCTTTGGGAGATGCTGGGAGGCAGTGTGGGACACAGAGGATGAGATGAAGCTAAGGCCACTCTGGTGGCATCAGCTGCTTAAAGCACCTCTTGTGCTGAAGCTGATTTTGGGGTAAAATCATCCTTTTCAACCAGTATCCAAATCCAGGCAGAGACATCTTCACCTTTGGTTGTTTCCTACCTCTGTTTGGCTTTTCCTTTTTGTTCTGGGTTGGGTTTGGTGCTTTTTTGGTCCATCCAGTGGTTTGGAGCATCAAAACACCCTCCCATGTCTAGGCTGAATGCATGTCCCATCCTAGGCTGCTGCAGAGGTCTCTGTGTCCCAAATTCCTAGAGCTCTGTGGTGCCAGAGATCACCCCTGTGTGTCCTACCACCACTGTGCTTAATCCCACTGCTGGGGAGCTCAACGGGAACACAACTCACCAATAAATCTCATTCCAAATGACTTCAAGATGGTCCCAGCTCTGCTGTTGGTTGGGAAAGTTGGGAGTTTGAGGGAAGCAACCCAAATACACGATGATCTGGGTGGGATTCACCCCAAAAATGCTGTGTGGAGAGGGGAAGCTCAGCTTGGACTGGAGGACTAGGTGATTTGCTTCACCCCAGAGCTGCTGCTCTGGTTTCTAGCCCCTCTCTTGCCCCTGAGGCTGGACTTGGGGAGCTTTGCCTGAAGCCAATATCCATCCCAACTGCAGCTCCTGCAAGTTGTGGGGCAGCACTCCAAACCCTCCATGGGCAGCTCAGGCTTCTGGAATCCAGTCTATGCTGAGCTGCTTTCTGCCTTGGCTCATGCCTCTGATTCTGTTTTGACAGGAAAATGCCTCCACACCCCCATCCCAATCCCTCCCTGTCCACTGGCGGCTTGGGTTGCCTTTTCTCATTGATTTGGGGGGGAAGGAGGTGATTTTTGTAAACTAATGTGGTGAAAACAGCTTTTTTTGCACAAGTCGTTGCACAATAAGGGGAAAATTTAGTAAATTAGATTTAACTTTAAAGGGAACTCTTTGTTTTTTCCTTTAAACTCACTAGCAGAGCTACTGATGGGAAGAGAAGAGATGGACTGATTGAAGAATGGACTGCATGGGTTACAGGTTCCATGGGGTTAGGAATTAGCATGTTGATTTCGACTGTACATTTATCCTGTTGTAACTTCTATTAAACAATACAGCATTTAACTGCTTCAGTCAGTGCCTCTGCTCATGTGCATCGCTGGGAAGGCACTGCCTTTGCCTTCATCTCACCAGAAACCAGTCCTAAATCCCAGAAAAGATAAAGTTCAACAGCTCTTCGAGACAAGCAGCAAAGGTTTGCTGCTGAAACACATGGATTTATGGAGTATCCCATGGGGAGATGATGAGCACTGGCTCCCACATCCCATGTTGTATAGAAACACCAAGTTTTCCTCAGTTTGGGGGTTTTAACTGGTTTCTACCAAAACCTTTTCCCTGGAGGGTGGTGAGGCACTGGCACAGGTTGCCTAGAGAAGCTGTAGCTGCCCCATCCCTGGCAGGACAGGTTGGATGGGACTTGAAGCAACCTGGTCTAGTGGAAGGTGTCCCACCTGGGATGCCAAGAATGCATGAAGCATCCCAAGCCCTCCCAGCCCACCCTGGGCCCCAGTACCTGGGTTAAGGACCTTAACATCAGCCTCTACTCCCTTGGCCTGGGGTATTTTGGGTGCTGAGCCATGCTAAGAGCAGCCTGGATGCTCCAGGACTGTGCTCCAGGGAATGCACAGCCCTCAGTGGGAGAGACAGAGATGTCCTGCAGCACCTGTGGGGATGAGAGGTGGTCCAGCACTGTGGGACTCTGGTGGGAGAAGGTGTGCAGAGATCTTG